GCAATCGGAAGCCAGTGGAGGAATTGGCAGAGGGGGGTGGCGGAGACGGAGCCCAACCCCTCTCAACCCCCCACCTCACCCCCTCAGTCACTGCCCAGATCACACACCCACTGAGCAACATATCAGACTGGATGTCGCTCCACTTCCCCAAACTGAACCTCTCCAAAACTGAGTTTCTTGTCTTCCCCCCAGCCTGTGCAGACTCCTACCTCCACAACATCGCCAAAATCTGCACGTTCCCAACCCCAGAAACCACCAAACAGCTCATCCACTCCCCCATCACATCACGACTCGACCACTGCAACTCCCTCCCCACTGGCCTGCCCCGCCGCCGGCCACCCCCGCCTCAGTCAATGACAAGATGACTTGTCATTGCCTATGCTATCACAAGGGATGTTGTTCATCCCTTGTGATAGGAATAAAGTTAATAAAAAAAACTTAAAGGGACATTGTAAAAAAAAAAAAAAAAAAGTGCCCCTGCTCCCCTGTGCTGAAACACACTGTATGTTACACCCTTCAAAAGGTGAACTTATCCTCTAAGGATCCGGTTGATAAACTGTTGCAAGCGCTCTCTATAGAGGTGGCAGGCCTGACTCTACAGCTCATTGTTTAACCTCTTCACGCCGGCCGAACGCAAATGTGCGGCGCGTTTGGGCCTAGACGCCAAGCGGCCGCACATTTGCGTTCCTGGACATATGTCCGGGAGCGTGCGCCCTGCACACATGTCCGGTACTCAAAGGTCCCGATCTCCTCTTTCGATCGGGACCTTTCCCGATCATGTGAACGTCGTGACGTCACGGCAGTCACATGACTCTAAACCCCGCCCCGCCTCCCAGCTTCTGAAACCCTTAAAGGGCCGGGAGGCACCGGCGTGAAGGGGTTAACTACAGTTTTACTTTGCCAAACCCAAGCAAAGTAATAGCTACATTGGAAGGCCATGGAGCCTCCTTGTGATCGCAATAAAGGAAAAAAAAAATTATATAAAATTTTAAAACGTTTTAAAGCACACATCACCCCCATACACACCCCACTTAATAAGTGCAGCATAGGATGAGCGGGTGTATGTAGACCTCAATTGTGCCATACAAGTGGGGTATCAACGCAGTTCAAGGATATTCATGTGACACCTATGGAGAATTTTGGGTACCATAGTTTTCTGTAATTCCACAGTCATGCGCATTTCAAGACTTGACATGCTTCGGACACATAGGATAACATGCCGGGGATGGACAGGATAACATGCCGGGGATGGACACACTGGAGAACATGCCGGGGATGAGACACGGGATGGACACACAGGAGAACATGCCGGGGATGGACACATAGGATAACATGCCGGGGATGGGGACATGCGGGGACACATAGGAGAACATGCCGGGGATGGACGTAGGATAACATTGGGAGATAACATGCCGGGGATGGACACACAGGAGAACGTAGGATAACATGCCGGGGATGGATAGGACACGGGGATGGACAGGAGAACATGCCGGGGATGGACACACAGGATATGCCGGGGATGGACACACAGGATAACATGCCGGGGATGGACACGTAGGATAACATGCCGGGGATGGACACGTAGGAGAAACATGCCAGGACATAACATGCCGGGATGGACACGTAGGATAACATGCCGGGGATGGACACATAGGATAACATGCCTGGGGGGTTACTGGCTGTAGAAAAAAACGTCAAAAGCCAAAAACAGCCGCTGTAAAAACATCCCGTGTGTGCAGGACTTGGACAGGAAATGAAGGGAAATCTCTGCAATGGGACACAGATGGCAAAAAAAAAAAAAAGGGAAAAAAAAAAATCTGACCCTTCTCTCTCCTTTAGGCTCCATTCACACTTATGCGATTTTTGATTTTTTGATTTTTTTTTAGTGCTTTTTGCAGAAACTTAGTACAGTCCATTTAACCACTTCAACACTCTCACCCCCTTCCTGTCCCCAGGCCAATTTTCAGCTTTCAGCGCTATCACACTTTGAATGACAATTGCGCGGTCATGCATCACTGTACACCTAATGAATTTTTTAGCATTTTTTGAGACAGATAAAGCTTTATTTTGGTGGTATTTATTCACCGCTGGGATTTTTTATTTTTTTTGCTATGTAAATGAAAAAGTCCAAAAATTTTGAAAGTGTTTTTCTTATAAAAATTTTTCAAATAGTTTTTCTTAATCAGTCTTGTCCAAAATTGATTCCGTTTTCTTTTTAGTAAAACAAAAATAACCCAAATTAGTTTATAACCAAAAATTATATTTTAACCACTTGCCACCCAGCCACCGCATATAAACGGTGGCAGGGTGGCGCTCGTAGGCAAAAGCACGTTTTAAAACGTGTGCCTACAAAACAGGTAGGGGGCGTGCGCGAGGCGTTTACTGGCCGTTTTCCCGCGATGAGCGCATTGTTTACACACAGCCCTGCTCTGTGACAGTTCGCCGCCAAGCTGCAGAGGGAGAGAACAGTTTCTCTTCCTCATCAGCTCCCCCCTCCCTCCCCCTGTCCAGTACACACCCCCGCCCCCTAGTAAAACACTCCCCTTACACAGTGAACACTAAAAATGTTAACCCCTTCCTCCCCAGTGCCATTAGTACAGTTTCAGTGGTTTTTTTTTTCACTGATCACTGTATTGGTGTCACTGGGGATGCCAGTGACCCCAAGTCAGCTCCCCCCCCCCAGTGTCAAAATGTCCACCGCAGTCCCCGCCATAAGTCGCTGGTCGCCATCATATGTCGCTGATCGGCGCCATTATTAGTATAAATAAAAATTAAAAATCCCAGTATCTTTCCCGCCATTTGTAAACGCTATAACTTTCACGTAAACCAATTAATTTACACGTATTGGGATTTTTGTAGCAAAGACATGTCGCAGAATGCATTTTGGCGAAATTTATGACTAAATTTGATTTTTGCATTTTTTTTTACTGGACATGTTTTATAGCAAAAAGTCCAAAATATTGTTTTTTTTTTCCTCAAAATTGTCAGCCTTTTTTTTTTATAGCGCAAAAAATAAAAACCGCACAGGCGATGAAATACCACTGAAAGCTCAATTTGTGGGGAAAAAAGGATGTAAATTTTCATTTATGTACCGTATTGCATGACCGCGCAATTGTCCGTTAAACTAGCGCAGCGCTGTATAGCAGAAAAATGGTGTAAATTGCAGTATCTATACCATAGTTTGTAGACGCTATAACTTCCACACAAAGCAATCAATATACACTTATTGGGATTTTTTTTACCAAAAACATGGAGCAGAATACATTTTGGCCGAAATTTATAACCAACTTTGAGTTTACTATATATTTTTTATAGCTGAAAGTAAAAAATATTGTTTTTCTTCAAAATTTTGGGCCTTTTTTTTGTTTATAGCATGAAAAATAAAAAAAGCGCACAGGTGATCAAATACCACCGAAAGAAAGCTCTATTTGTGTGAAAAAAAGGACGTAAATTTCGTTTGGGTGCAGCGTTGCATGACCTTTTTGCGCAAATTATCAGTTGAATTAGTGCAGCACCGAGTAGCAAAAAGAGGCGTGGTCATTAAGGGGGGTAAATCCTCAGGAGGGCAAGTGGTTAAAAATTTTTTTTTACATTTTTATTTTATTATTTTTCCTTTTATTTATTTTTTTTTTTTTACATACTGTCACCCTAGCAGTACAGTGTCACCATGGTGACACTGTACTACTTGAGGGGGGTGATGAAGATTTTTTTTTTTTACACTGATTGCTTACACCCATAAAGGTTGTAAAAGCAATAATTTTTCCTTCTCTCTGGCTGCATTCTTGCAGCCATTGAGAAATACTGTGTGAGCTGTGATTGGTCACAGCTTGTCACATGGTACAAGGCTGTTGTGAATAGCCCTGTACCATGTGACCTCTGTGATCATTCACAGATCTCACATGTAGTAAGCAATGATGTCAGAAGTGGTGTCTTGCTTATTACTCTTCATGTGGTCACTGATTGGCCAATCCGTGATCACATGATCGGGACCTCGCACAGAGGTCCCGTCCGATGATCGGTGTTCCCGTGTCCGGAGGACACAGCGGGCACCAGATCACGGTGCTGTTCGCTCCCAGGGAGCGCGCACAAGCAGGGGGCGGGGAGCCCGTTTTATAAACGTCCACCTGACCCTGCACTGCCACCGTCTGGCCGTTTTATATACAGCGGGCGGACAGGAAATGCGTCTTTAGAATGAGTCAGGGACTTTTTTCTACACTAGAGTTCAATGGACAAGATGCTGAAATGCAAGGTAGTGCGGTTTTGTTTCGTTTTACATTTATATTCTTTAACAAAAAATAAAAGCTGAGCCAAATATGTCAAAACCGTGTAGAAAAACGCAAAACAAACTCTGAGGAGCACTGCAAAATGGGAAAAAAGCAAACTACACAGTTGTGATCGGAACCTTAGGCCTCTTTCACGTGGGCGGTCCTTATGTCCATTTGTCATCTGTCTGTTTACGGGTGAAAAACCGACACCCATGTATTCCTATGGACTAGCGGATGTAAAAGGGTGATTATCTGTTTACATGTTTTTTTGAATAGAAGAAAAAAAAACTGGCATGGACAGAAACAGATCGATGAAAAACGGATCGGTTTTTTTTTCATGGAAAAAACGTGACTGATCTGATGAAAAAGAAAAAAACGGAACACCCATGTGAAAGGGGCCTAACATACACATGGCTCACTCAAAGCAGAGAGGTGTGATCAGAGCTCATGCTATGGGGTGATGTATACCGGACATCATCTGATTGGTCAGTGAACACTGCACCCCCCTTCCCCACCATGGAACACGTCGTATGGGTTTTGTGGTCTCCGGGAAGATGGCGGCGCCCTGAGCTGCAGACATGTGTGTGTTGAGAGTTGACTTCTAGTGCTGTAGGAGGAGCCTAGAGAGCGGAAGAGGCGGGCTCAACGTGTTTCGTCCTTTGTGCGGCAATTGCCCGGCGCTTTGTCTCCGCCCACTTCTCCAGCTCTTCGCGTCACGTGATCTCCTACCGACATGTCCGCCGTGTCCCAGACCGGAGCAGAGAACGAGAAGCTGGAGAAAGGAGAGGAGATGGAGAGCAAACGAGGAGGAGGAGAACATGGAGGACGAGGATGATGGGAGAGGAGGGGGGAGGGGAGGACGACTTCACCGTACAGGTCGGGGCCACCTACTCCTGTAAGAGGAACGACGGCACCTACCGTGAGTACCTCATATATATCACCCCTCCCCCCCACTACAGAGTACTTACCTCATATCCCCCCTCCCCCCACTACAGAGTACTTACCTCATATATATATCCACCCCTCCCCCCCACTACAGAGTACTTACCTCATATCACCCCTCCCCCCACTACAGAGTACTTACCTCATATATATCACCCCTCCCCCACTACAGCGTACTTACCTCATATCACCCCTCCCCCCACTACCTACCTACCCCCCCCCCCCCCCCCCACACACACACACACATACACACTTCTGTAAGAGGAATGATGACACCTATCGTAATGATACCATCCCTCCCCCACTGTATACTTACCAACCTTCCCCTTCCCCCACCACCTACTCCTGTAAGAGGCGGGGAGGCACCTACCTCGAGTACTTACCTCATCCGTACATATGACGCCCCTGCTGCACTGTCCGTTGTCTCCTGTTGCAGATGATGCGGAGGTGGTGAAGACCAGAATGAACAAGCAGGCCGGGCGGGAGGAGTACTTCGTCCATTACGCTGGCTGTGAGTACCCCTTGTATCTGAGGTCCTGAGAAGTCCCTCCCCTCTGGGGTGGGCGGAGCCATCCACACATACTCCCCTTCCTGTACGCAGTGTTGTGACTTTTTTGTTGTATAGTTTTGTCTTCTTGTTTGCATTTGAAGGGTAAGATGACCTTCTCACACAATGAAAGCTGACAACGACCTCTCCTGGCCACCCCTCCGGAGCCCCCTGTACATAGCGGCCATCACCACCCTCTGCTGCCGGTGTATTGGGTACCCAGACCTGGAATGAGGCCACCATAATGCTGACAATGGTAAGCGCTCATTGGCCGGCACAGTCATGTGACCACAAGCATCTCTGAGGCTTCTTCCAGTGAGGAGTCCCAGTATAAATAATTGGTCATTGTTCACTACTCAGTCGTACTCACCAATGAGCACTTGGCATCACAAAGCATTCTGATGGTTGCTTAACCACTTCCCGTCCGGGTCAGACGGTCAGACGGTGGCACTCCAGGGGCGGGTTGCCATTCATAAACGGCACCCGCATTTTTTCAAGCTGTGCGCTCCCCGGGACTGTGCAGCACCGCGATCCGGTGCCCGCTGTGTCCTCCGGACACAGTGGAACACCGATTGTCGTACGGGACCTCTGTGCAAAGTCCCGATCATGTGATCACTGATTGGCCGATCAGTGATCACATGCAGAGTAGTAAGCAAGATGTCACTTCTGACATCATTGCTTACTACGTGTGAAATCTGTGAATGATCACATGGTACAGGGCCACTCACAACAGCCTTGTACCATGTGACAAGCTGTGACCAATCACAGCTCACACAGTATTTCTCAATGGCTGCAAGAATGCAGCCAGAGAGGAGAAATGATTGATATTACATCCTTTTATGGGTGTAAAAGCAATCAAGTGTGTAAAAAAAAAAAAATAAATAATCAAACCCCACATGTAGTACAGTGTCACCATGGTGACCCAGTACTGCTAGGGTGACTGTAAAAAAAAAAAACATAAAAATGTAAAATAAAAAAAATTTTTGAAAAATTATTTTTGGTTATTAACTAATTTGGGTTAACAGAATAAATTTCAGCCAAGATTTATGATGAAATATTATTTATTTGCAAAATTGTATAAGAAAAACACTTTTTTTTTCAAAATTTTTGGACATTTTCATTTATATAGCAAAAAAAAAAAAAATCCCAGCGGTGAATAAACACCACCAAAATATAAAGCTTTATCTGTCTCAAAAAAATGCTAAAAAATTCATATGTGTACAGTGTTGCATGACCGCGCAAGTGTGATAGCACTGAAAGCTGAAAATTGGCCTGGACTGGAAGGGGGGGGTGAAAGTGTCCGGACTGGAAGGGGGGGGGGGGGGGGTGAAAGTGTCCGGACTGGAAGGGGGGGTGAAAGTGTCCGGACCGGAAGGGGGGGGTGAAAGTGTCCGGACCGGAAGGGGGGGAGTGAAAGTGTCCGGACCGGGGGGGGGTGAAAGTGTCCGGACCGGGGGGGGGGTGAAAGTGTCCGGACCGGAAAGGGGGGGGTGAAAGTGTCCGGACCGGGGGGGGGGTGAAAGTGTCCGGAAGGGGGGGGGGTGAAAGTCCGGACCGGAAGGGGGGGGGTGAAAGTGTCCGGACCGGAAGGGGGGGGGTGAAAGTGTCCGGACCGGAAGGGGGGGGGGGGTGAAAGTGTCCGGACCGGAAGGGGGGGGGTGAAAGTGTCCGGACCGGAAGGGGGGGGGTGAAAGTGTCCGGACCGGAAGGGGGGGGGGTGAAAGTGTCCGGACCGGAAGGGGGGGGGGTGAAAGTGTCCGGACCGGAAGGGGGGTGAAAGTGTCCGGACCGGAAGGGGGGGGGGGTGAAAGTGTCCGGACCGGAAGGGGGGTGAAAGGGCCCGGACCGGAAGGGGGGTGAAAGGGCCCGGACCGGAAGGGGGGTGAAAGCGTCGGGACCGGAAGGGGGGGGTGAAAGCATCCGGAAGTGGGGTTGGGGAAAGCGTCCGGACTGGAGGTGGTTAACCTGGCAGTGTATGGACCGCTACACCAGCTGCACAGAGCCATCACGGAATGTATGGTGGGGTCCAGAAGGGTGGCCAGGATATTTGGAAAAGGGGAACTTGCCCTTCAGTTCATGTGTAGGTCTGGACTTTGACCTTCTATGCACACTTTTCGGGTGAACAGATGGCTGGTATGGAAGAGGAGTTCGGTGCAGGGCCACGTCTTTGCAGTACTTGTACAATTTTCTGCCTTTTAGTTGTGACCATTGGTGCTCTAGTAGAACACTTCCCTATGGCCGTCACTTTTGATTGACCAAAATATGTTGTCATTTACCAGCCACAAAAAGTCTCAGACAGACAGCTTTACCCACCAAAGAGAAACTGAAAACACAGCCAGCTGGACAGTGCAGATAGAAACACTTTATACCAAATACAAACATTTCTACATAGAATGAATTGGGTTGGTTGGGGTACATCACATGAGGAACCTGTTTCAATGGAACGCCGGGATTTACCAGCAGTTGCTTTGAATGCTGTCACTAGGTTGTCGGCAAAAGAAGAGGTGCAAGCAGTGATGGATACTCTGAAATGAGCACTGCGGGAACCAAAGGGATGGAAACTACAAGAACATCCCTATAGCTGGTGGTACTCTGATGAAGGGACGTGGCCCCGAAACGTGTTAGTGCAGTGGAGTTACTTTGACTTCCAAGGATAAAACTTCTGTCCTTCACTCTGAGCCAGCAATTGGGACGTTCTTGTAGTTCTCTTCCCGTTGAACCAGCAATTGGGACGTTCTTGTAGTTCTCTTCCCGTTGAACCAGCTATTGGAACGTTCTTGTAGTTCTCTTCCCGTTGAACCAGCTATTGGAACGTTCTTGTAGTTCTCTTCCCGTTGAACCAGCTATTGGGATGTTCTTGTAGTTCTCTTCCCGTTGAACCAGCTATTGGGACGTTCTTGTAGTTCTCTTCCCGTTGAACCAGCTATTGGGACGTTCTTGTAGTTCTCTTCCCGTTGAACCAGCAATTGGGACGTTCTTGTAGCTATCTTCCCATTGAACCAGCTACTGGGACGTTCTTTTGGTTCCCTTCCCACTAAACCAGCTATTGGGACATTCTTGTAGTTCTCTTCCCACTAAACCAGCTACTGGGATATTCTTGTAGCTCCCTTCCCACTGAACCAGCTACTGGGACATTCTTGTAGCTCCTTTCCCACTGAGCCAGCTATTGGGACATTCTTGTAGTTCCTATCCTACTTAACCAGTTGTTGGGACATTCTTGTAGCTCCTTTCTCACTGAACCAGCTACTGGGACATTCTTGTAGTTCCCTTCCTACTTAACCAGCTGTTGGGACATTCTTGTAGCTCCCTTCCCACTGAACCAGCTACTGGGATGTTCTTGTAGCTCCCTTCCCACTGAGCCAATTATTGGGACATTCTTGTGGTTTCCTTCCCACTGAACCAGCTACTGGGACGTTCTTGTAGCCATCTTCTCGTAGAACCAGCTATTGGGATGTTCTTGTAGTTTCCTTCCCTCTGAACCAGCTATTGGTATGTTCTTGTAGCTCCCTTCCCACTGAACCAGCTATTGGTATGTTCTTGTAGCTCCCTTCCCACTGAACCAGCTATTGGTATGTTCTTGTAGCTCCCTTCCCACTGAACCAGCTATTGGTATGTTCTTGTAGCTCCCTTCCCACTGAACCAGCTATTGGTATGTTCTTGTAGCTCCCTTCCCACTGAACCAGCTATTGGTATGTTCTTGTAGCTCCCTTCCCACTGAGCCAGCTATTGGGGCATTCTTGTAGTTTGGTTCCTGCAGCGTCCTCCTCGGAGTATGTATCTCACCTTGGATCTCTCTATGCCAACAACTTAGTGGGACTGTTTACAGCTACTGTGTGTGCGGTCTGGGGCACCATTGGAGGGGTTTCTGGTAAAATGTCCAGATGAAGCCCCTTTATTGTACGTCCATGTTTGTCATTTTTTATCAGTGTAATAGGCTTTTATCTGCTCTCTCCAGTACATTTTTCTTTTGCATACATGTATGTCCTTTTGGGTATAATCACATTTGCCTGCCTTGGTACCTGTGCGTTTCATTCAAGTGGGTGTCATCAGGCCAGGCTTGGACTCCGATGAAATACATGGAGGAGATTTACTAACACTGGAGGATGCAAAATCTGATGCGGCTCTGCCTAGGAACCAATCAGCTTCCAGGTTTTTTGTCAAAGCTTCATTGGAAAAGCTGAAGTTAGGAGCCGATTGGCTCCCATGCACAGCTGCACCAGATTTTGCACTCCCCCGTTTTAGTAGACCCCAGTTTCAATCCGTTTTAGTGTGAGCAGTTTTTAATGGTTTGCTATGACCACTTTTACATGGGAGGGTGTTTTTGCAGCAGTTGTTTTACCTTCCCTGAGAATGTTGTTGTGGGGGAGGTCTACTTATGTAGGTAATACAGAGGAGATCTCTGGGTTTGGTTCACGTGGATATTGCCGATTACAAAAACATTTCTGACCTTCATAACTGAGGTCAGCGTATCCGGTAAGTGTGTTTAGAATCCTTTTGCTTGGTGGTTTTACGTCTCATTTGATTTTATACATTTGTGTTCTGAACAGAATCATGAAAGTGCTGCTGATGGACGGGGCTGTGTATTATCGTCACAGGCTGCTTGTGAACCCTGTATCCCCAGAAGTAGTGCCAAGTGACTGTTGTGTTTAAAGGCCGACTCCACCTGTAAGACCACGAGAGACCCATACTTGGGGTGTAACATGGTGCCGAGCGACCCCCTCCACCCCACAGCAGATGTCAGGTTTGAAATGGGCATTGTTGTGGAGACTCTCTGCTCCTCCACCATTTACTGCAGCTGTGGGGGAGGTCTGGCTGCTGGTTGGGCATCTGGGTGGATCCCGACATTTATTGGGATCCCCGCAGAGCCTGGACAGACTATGTAATGCATGTCAATTGCAGGCTTTAGCCTGCTGTGGGCTGAATCTGGGTCACAGGAGTAAAGAACAGAGAGCTTTCATGGGACCCATAGGTGAAATATATCCACAAGAGCTTCGGCTGTACTTCTGTAAATAAACGAGATACCCATACTTGGGGTGTAACATGGTGCCAAGCAACACCCCCCTTCACCCCACCCCACAGCAGCTGTCAGGTTGGAAATGGGCATCGCTGTGTGGAGACTCTCCCACCATTTACTGCAGCTGTGGGGGTTCTGGCTGCTGGTTGGGCATCTGGGTGGATCCCGACATTTATTGGGATCCCGCAGAGCCTGGACAGACTATGTGACTCAAATCAATTGCAGGCTGTGGGCTGAATCTGGGTCACAGGAGTGCAGAACCGAGTGCTTTCATGGGACCCATAGGTGAAATATATCCACAAGAGCTGCGGCTGTACTTCTGGAAATAAAGACGCTGGTTGTAGAAATGTCGCAAGCCCTGCCTTGGCTTTTGTGAGCAGTGCAGGCCATGGAGCTGGTTTGATTCGAATATTCACTTCTCAGGTCTCACCAATGGAAGACCTGGAGGGCGGTGTGCTTATCTGGGTTTGCCTGCAGTGTGACGCATGTTTTTACTCTTGGCAGACCCAGAAACTGTCCAACATGAGAAGACGTAGGCTGCTCAGAACAATTGTAGAGTCTTAAAGGCATAGCCCATCTTTTTTGATAACGTTTGATATTATAGGCATGGTAACATGCCCCAGAACCAACACCGCCCCTCTACTTACCTGAATCACTGGGGGCTTCTCTCCGCACCATCTTTACAATTTCAGATCTGTGAATGGAAGACTACATGTCCCATCTGCCCCCGCCGCAGAGGGCTTTGTAGATCTCAATGCAGCAGAAGTGCATGTCCTCCAGCCCCATAACGGTACCTTGGTCTGGAGCTGCGGGGGGGGGGGGGGGAGAAGTCTGCAGGATCCTGAGCATTGCATTAAATCATGGTTCCACTGCTTCAGATTCCAGTGCAAAAAAGAAAAAACATTTTTTTTCTTTGTTTAATGTGAGTGCATTTAGTTTTTTCTTTCTCTCCCCCCCCAATAAGGTTGACTATGCCTTTACGCTTGAGTTGCACTGTTGCAGGCCTTGCAGCCAAGTTTGCTCATTTGAATGGGCTGCCATGCCTGTGTTTTTCGGGGAGGGGGAATGCATGCAGCTTTTTGAAAATGTGGCTGCAGGGTCTTTTTGACTGCAGTTCCTGCACCCGCATTGGCTGCAGGAACCGATGCGATTCCTGCAACGAGAACGCACACTGCAGGCTAGTGTGAACCTAGCCTCAAATTGCCTCTGGCTAGCAGTGATGTTGAAGCACTTAGCCCAGGGGTCAGCAACCTCAGCACTCCAGCTGTTCTGGAACTACAAGTCCCATGAGGCATTGCAAGACTGGCACCCACAGGCATAAGCAAAGGCACGATGGGATATTTAGCGCACCTGGAGTGCCAAGGTCGTGCCTACCCCTGGTCTCGCCGAGTTCAAAGCTTGGTTGTAGAGCAGACCATACAGATTGATGGATTGCAATTACCGAGGACGTTGTGGTGACACTCTGTGTAATTCATGAACATTTCTTGTGTTTGTGGTCCCCTCCCCCTCCTTTTCTTGTATAGTCATTTCTATAAATGAGAACAGCTTGTTCAGTGACTGAGATATACTCCATTTTTGTTTTCTGATTGATAAATGCTATTATTCCCGCAGATAAAATCCTGAGTTCTGCTTACAAGTGGTTTGTTCTGGTTTCCTGGAAACCATTAAAGGAGACGTTCATCTTTGTAACATGTTACAATCGTATTTAGGCTCGCAGTATAGCACCGGCCCACACAGTTCCCTGTGAATGAATGAACTACAAGTACCATCTTCCACCGCAGCAAACGGCTTGTAGTGCCCAATGAACTGCAGGGGCACTGGTGAATGCTCTCATATTTCATTGGTTCTTTCTGCAATTCCGTAAATGTCTGCCTTTTTTTTTTTTTTTTTTTTTTTTTTGTACAAAACGTGAACTTATCCTTTAACCTGAGTAAGGGTGTAGTCACACACAGGGCATGGCTGAACCAAACTGTGCTGGTGTTAGGTTGTAACCCCCTAACTCCATAGTCTGCAGTTACACTGCGCTGTATGAAAGTGCATGGGTACCTGCGGGCAGGTCCGTGCCCGGTGCCCTGGGGGCAGGTCCGTGCCTGGTGCCCTGGGGGGCAGGTCCGTGCCCTGGGGGGCAGGTCCGTGCCGGTGCCCTGGGGGGCAGGTCGGTGCCCTGGGGGGCAGGTCCGTGCCCGGTGCCCTGGGGGCAGGTCCGTGCCCTGGGGGGCAGGTCCGTGCCCGGTGCCCTGGGGGCAGGTCGGTGCCCTGGGGGGCAGGTCCGTGCCCGGTGCCCTGGGGGCAGGTCGGTGCCCTGGGGGCAGGTCCGTGCCCGGTTCCCTGGGGGCAGGTCCGTGCCTGGTGCCCTGGGGGCAGGTCCGTGCCCTGGGGGCAGGTCCGTGCCCTGGGGGCAGGTCTGTGCCTGGTGCCCTGGGGGCAGGTCTGTGCCTGGTGCCCTGGGGGCAGGTCTGTGCCTGGTGCCCTGGGGGCAGGTCTGTGCCTGGTGCCCTGGGGGCAGGTCTGTGCCTGGTGCCCTGGGGGCAGGTCCGTGCCCTGGGGGCTGGTCCGTGCCTGGTGCCCTGGGGGCAGGTCCGTGCCCGGTGCCCTGGGGGCAGGTCCGTGCACTCACCTGAAGCAAACTGTACCGAACAGCAAGTGAACTGTGTTGGGACCACCTCTTCCAAGCAGTCCCAGACGCGGATAGCCGTTCCTTGGTATGGTTCCGAGTACTCGTATGAACCAGAACACGGGGGAGAACCATGCCCAGGTACAGTTGGCATTGCCAGGGTGAGTACAATCTGAATTTGCAGACACAAGACAAATTTCAAAAGCTGTCCCAAAATTGGCTTTTTTTACTCTGCTAACTTTAAGATTGGTTTGAGCTGAATTTCTGCAGGAAATTGGCAACAAACTCACTAGCAGGGATGTATTTGACCTTTTTTTTTCCCCTTTTTGATTAGTTTAACCAACTTTTTTTTTTTGTCTTTTATTTTTAAAATATTTTTTACTACTCAGTTTCATTGTGAAACCCTCCCTAGTCATACAGTATGTCAGTTTCTTAAAGCTGAACCCCAGGCACAAATACAAATATATATATTTTTTATTTGAAATATTACTCAATGGCCTCAAAGGATATCCGTTTGTGTGCTCAAAATGCCTTTGAAAATCCAGATCTTACCTTGTAAATAGTAGCAGCCACTCCCTGAAATAGCAGAGTGCAGGGAGCAGAGCAGTGGGAGGAACATACTAGCTCCACCCATTACAGGCTGCCTCAAATAGCAGGAAGCAGAGCAGTGGGAGGAACATACTAGCTCCACCCACTACAGGCTGCCTCAAATAGCAGGAAGCAGAGCAGTGGGAGGAACATACTAGCTCCACCCACTACAGGCTGCCTCAAATAGCAGGAAGCAGAGCAGTGGGAGGAACATACTAGCTCCACCCACTACAGGCTGCCTCAAATAGCAGGAAGCAGAGCAGTGGGAGGAAGATACTAGCTCCACCCACTACAGGCTGCCTCAAATAGCAGGAAGCAGAGCAGTGGGAGGAACATACTAGCTCCACCCACTACAGGCTGCCTCAAATAGCAGGGAGCAGAGCAGTGGGAGGAACATACTAGCTCCACCCACTACAGGCTGCCTCAAATAGCAGGGAGCAGAGCAGTGGGAGGAACATACTAGCTCCACCCACTACAGGCTGCCTCAAATAGCAGGGAGCAGAGCAGTGGGAGGAACATACTAGCTCCACCCACTACATTCTGCCTGCAGAAAACTACAGAAGGGGGCGGAGACTAGACTAGTCACCCTGCACAAGGAGAGCGATCAGCAGTGACCGGTCTTTGCGACTGTGCAGGAGTTTTCTGTAATCAAGTCTCACACCAGATTACAGCACAGATCTGGCAGAAACCACAAAGCACACAGAGGTTCAAGGATGAATATATATTACTATACAGGCTTATCCCGGAGTTCAGCTTTAATTTTCTAATACTGAAATCTTATTGGCGCTCAGGACTGAGCCGAGTTTTTGCCGCTTCCTCACTTTGTTTTATGATGAGAATACTTATTGTGAGCTCGCTTTCTCCCGCAGTGAACCGCCGCCAAAACGAGTGGGTGGACAAAACCCGATTGGCACTGCCCAAGCCAGCGAAGGAGGAGGACGTGGGCAATGGACCAGACCAGGACGCCTTGGACAATGGAAAAACACCCCAGAAAACGGAGGAGGGCGAGCCTGAACCGAAGGTAACGCGAGGCACGAATACCGTCCATCCACCCCATCAGCTCTCACCGCATGTTTGGGATTATTCGCTCATCCCCCCGATAGCGGCTCAGTGCCTCTGGCGTTTTATGTACTCGTGTGTCTGTGCCAGAGACTTGTGGCATCTGTTTGTTGTAGCTGGGGGCCATTCGTGACTGCCGGAGTTCAGATATCCTAACCAGTTTAATGTGTGCGGGTGGAGGATTTCCACTGGTGCCAAATGGGGGTCTGGAGGAATCTCAGGAGCAGGGGCGGACTGACCATTTGGAAACTTGGGCACTGCCCGAGGGCTCGGGGTCAGTAGGGGGCCCCATGAGATGCCCCTGGTACATTTTTCATAGGCTTTTTTTGAGTTTGGGCAAGGACACCGGGGCCCCATGATCCCCTATTGCTCGGGGGCCCCATGAGTTGTCAGTCCGCCCCTGCACAGGAGTTACATTTCAGTGTTCCGTGAACATTAAAGAAAAAGTGCACTTTTTCTGTCAAACCCTATTGCCCTACTCAACAAAATTTTGTATAGATATGCAGACATGGGGAGGTCTGTTCTGTGGCCTGCCCAGGTCCTTTTGTTGGGAGCCTTCTGTCAGAATTTTTACTCTGTCCCCTTTCTGCCCACCTCAGTGTCACTTTAATAAAGTTCTGAACACTGGGGCGGGGGGGGTGAGAGAGGCCATCTGATCCCGTGGCCACTGTGTTTGCTGGCTGTCACAGTAGTCACATGCTCTAAAGCCAGTCCTTCCGGCTACCAATCATTAGTGGGGACCAAGAGCTATCTTTCACAGCTTTGTCTTTGTGTGCTGACCATGGATGTGAGGCGTTTGGGCTTTAAAGCTCACCCTTTTACCGCCACATGTCAGACGATCATAAAGGGGTTATAGAGTGTTTAAGAGCCTGTGCCTCTGTGCCGTGGCAGGAATTACACCCGTTTCTTTTGGGTGTAGCGCCCCCCCTGAGCTTGGACCATTCAAGTGTCCCCAAACACATGCAATGTGTTGCAGCATTAAAGCAGCGAGTGAGAAGGGGGGGGAGATCTCCTCACCGTTTGTTAAATGCTCTCTAAATGGCGTTCCGAACACAGATTGCTCTTTAGAGGCCAGAGCAAGTGCAAACAAGGTTTTAAGCCCTTGCAGCCCGTTAAAGGTCAAATCCACTTTTTTAGATCATGTTTTATGTTACGCCCATAGTTGTGGGTGCAGCATGAAACGCGTGGTTGTGAACATCCCCAAAGCCTGGATTGAGGGGTGCTTCGTGTGTGTTATTTTTTTTTTGTGTGTTTTTTGTTTGTTTATTATATATGTTTGTGTGTGTGTTATATATATATTTTGTGTTGTTTTTTGTATTATTTTTATAATTATTGTTTTTTGTGTGTTGTGTTTTTTTGGGTGTGTTTTTTTATATTTTTTTTTTTTTTTTGTTTTTTGGTTTGTTTTTTATGGTATGTTTTTGTTTTTGTGTTTGTTTTTTATTTTTTTTGTGTTTTTGTTTTTTTTTTGTTGTTTTTTTTGTGTGTATATTTTTCATGGCCGAAATTTTTTTTTGGTTTTTTTGATTTTTCCAGGAAATCATGTTTTTCTCACGAAACGTTTTGCATTTTTTTTTTTTTGTATACACATTTTTTTTTTTTATTTTTTTTTTTGTGTGTGTTTGGGACAAAACAAAAAAAGGGAGGAAAGAAAGCAAATTCGACATATATGTTTTTTTTTCCAAAAATGGGCTGGACAAAAGTATTGGCACCCTTTCACAACTGCGGTTAAATAAGAATGTTACAAGCATGTTTTTGCTCCTGTAAACTCACCTGGGGCAAGTTTTTTTTGGTGTTTGGGCAATATAGAAATCACACCTGAAAGCAGATAAAAAGGAGAGACGTTCACTTAACCTTTTTTTGTGTGTCTGTCTGTGCCACACTAAGCATGGACAACAGAAAGAGGAGACGAGAACTGTCTGAGGACCTGAGAACCAAAATTGTGGCAAAATATTTTTTTTCAAGGTTACAAGTCCATCTCCAGAGAACTAGATTTGCCTTTGTCCACAGTGCGCAACATTATTTTTTTTTTTTGCAACCCATGGCACTGTAGCTAATCTCCCTTTTTTTCGTGGACGGATTTTTTTTTTTTTTGATGAAAGATTGCAACGCAGAATAGTCCGGATGGTGGATAAGCAGCCCCAAACATGTTCCAAAGACATTCAAGCTGTCCTGCAGGCTCAGGGAGCATCAGTGTCAGCGCGTTTTTATCCGTTTTTTTAAATGAAATGAAACGCTATGGCAGGAGACCCAGGAGGACCCCACTGCTGTTTATTTTTTTTTTTTAAAAAAGCAAGACTACAGTTTGCCAAATTGTACTTGAGTTTTTTTTTTTTTGGAAAACGTCTTGTGGACAGATGAGACCAAGATAGAGCTTTTCGGTAAAGCACATTTTTTCTACTGTTTACCGAAAACGGAATGAGGCCTACAAAGAACAAAACACAGTACCTACGGTTTTTTTTATTTTTTGGAGGTTCAATGATTTTTTTTGGGGTTGTTTTTTTTGCCTCTGGCACTGGGTTTTTTTGACTGTGTGCAAGGCATCATGAAATCTGAGGATTACCAAAGGATTTTGGGTCGCATTGTAGGGCCCAGTGTCAGAAAGCTGGGTTTGCGTCCAAGATCCTGGGTTTCCAGCAGGACAATGACCCCATTTTTTACGTCAAAAAGCACTCAGAAATGGATGGCAAAGAAGCGCTGGAGAGTTCTGAAGTGGCCAGCAATGAGCCCAGATCTAAATCCCATTGAACACCTTTTGGAGAGATCTTTTTTTTTTTTTTTGCTGTTGGGAAAAGGTGTTTTTTTCCAATAGAGAGACCTGGAGCTGTTTGCAAAGGAAGAGTGGTTTTTGGGGTGAGAGGTGTCAGAAGCTTATTGATGGTTATAGGAAGCGACTGATTTCAGTTATGTTTTTCCAAAGGGTGTGCAACCAAATTTAAGTTAAGGGTGCCAATACTTTTGTTTTTTTTTTTTTTTTTTGGGGTTTTGTGTGACATTTATGTCATATTTGCTTTTTTTTTCTGTTTTATATTTGTTCCAATACATACAAAGGGAAGAAACATGTGTTTAGCATTGTTTTTGTGTTAATGCAATACCTTTTTTTGTGTGAAATACTTGATTTTCAGGAAAAATATTGGGGGTGCCAACAATTTCGGCCATGATTTGTATATTTTGTTTTTTTTGTTTTTTGTTTTTTGGTTATTTTTTGTTGTGTGTGTTTTTTTATTATTTTTATATTTTTTTTTTTTTTTTTTTTTTTTTGTTTTGTTTGTGTGTATTTTTTTTTGTTTTATTACAGTCATGGCCGAAATTTTTTTTTGATATTTTTTTTTTTATGTATTTCTTTTTTTTTTTTTTTTTAATTTTTTTTTGTTTGCTATTTTTTTTTTTGTATTTTATTTGTGTTTGGGAAAAAACAAAAAAAGGGATTTTTTTTCGACATGTGATTTGTTTACACAAACCTCCAAAAATGGGTTGACAAAAGTATTTTTTTTTTTTTTTTTTTAAATAAGAATGTTACAAGCATTGATGCTTTTTTTTTTTTTTGTTTTTTTGGGGCAAGTAACAGTTGTTATTTATTTATAGAAATTTTTTTGTTTGCAGATAAAAAGGAGAGACGTTCACTTAACCTTTGCATTGTGTGTTTGTTTTTTTGTTTTTTAAGCATTTTTTGTTTTTTTTTGAGGTTTTTAATTTTTGTTAGAGAACTTTGTTTTTTTTTTTGAGAACCAACGTTTTTTTTTTGGCAAAATTTCAACAATTCAAGTTTTTACAAGTCCATTCCAGAGAACTAGATTTGCCTTTGTCCACAGTGCTTTTTATAATTTTTTTTTTTTTGGCACTGTAGCTAATTTCCCTTTTTCGTGGACGGATGAGGGGTTTTTTTTTTTTTTTTTGTTTTTTTTTTTTTTTGATGAAAGATTGCAATTTTTTTAATTTTTAGTCCGGATGGTGGATAAGCAGTTTGTTCCAAAGACATTTTTTTTTTTGTCCTGCAGGCAGGGGGATCAGTGTCAGCGCGAACTATCCGTCGACATTTAAATGAAATGAAACGCTATGGCAGGAGACCCAGGAGGACCCCACTGCTGACAGAGAGACATAAAAAAGTTGACTACAGTTTGCCAAAATGTACTTGAGTAAGCCAAAAGCCTTCTGGGAAAACGTCTTGTGGACAGATGAGACCAAGATAGAGCTTTTCGGTAAAGCACATCATTCTTTTTTTGTTTAACCGAAAACGGAATGAGGCCTACAAAGAACAAAACACAGTTTTTACGGTAAAATATATGTGGAGGTTTTTTTTTTGTTTTTTTGGGGTTGTTTTGCTGCCTCTGGCACTGGGTGCCTTTGTGTGCAAGGCATCATGAAATCTGAGGATTACCAAAGGATTTTTGGGTCGCACTGTAGGGCCCAGTGTCAGAAAGCTTTTTTTGCGTCCAAGATCCTGGGTCTTCCAGCAGGACAATGACCCCAAACATACGTCAAAAAGCACTCAGAAATGGATGGCAATTTTTTTTTGGAGAGTTCTGAAGTGGCCAGCAATGAGCCCAGATCTAATTTTCCCATTGAACACCTGTGGAGAGATTTAAAATTGCTGTTGGGAAAAGGTGTTTTTCCAATTTTGAGAGACCTGGAGCTGTTTGCAAAGGTTGTTTTGGTCCAAAATTGGGTGAGAGGTGGTGTCAGAAGCTTATTTGGGGTTTTTTATAGGAAGCGACTGATTTCAGTTTTTTTCCAAAGGGTGTGCAACCATAATTTTAAGTGGGTGCCAATTTTTTTGTTTTTTTTTTTTTTTGTGTGACATTATGTCATATTTTTTTTTTTTTTTTTTTTTCTTTTTTTTTTTTTATTTGTATTTTTTTTTTTTGTTTTGTTGTGTTTTTTTTTTTTTATTTTTTTTTTTTTTTTTTTTTTTTTTTTTTGTGTTTTTTTTTTGTTTTTTTTTTTTGTTTTTTTATTTGGTTT